CTAAACACTGCTAAACCCATTTATAAGCGTTTGCATTTGAAAATTATTTTTAACTCCAGTTCCTGATGCTTTCCAGAGCCTTTTTTCATCATGAGAAATGCATGCAAAGTGTTTTCAAGGTACTCAAATGGACAAAACACTGAACACAGGATGTTCCTACCAAGCTTGTCACACATTGTAATGACCAATTCACACCTCAGACCTCTCCTACCCTTGGACACAAAAGATATGTTAATGAACATTTACACCTCAAATTCCTCATGAAGACCCTTTGCCAGGTGGCCTTAATGACTCATTCAGCCAGACACCTTTCCCACCCTTGGAAACAAAAGAAATGTTAATGAGCAACTCACACCTAAGCTAATCTCAACACATACTGCTCTCTCTGCTTCTACTCTCTGTATTTCTCAGAAACAGTCTGAAATAGGTAATAATTTACCACTTTTCATTCTGGGCATTCTGGGCATTTGGGAGGTTCTCCTGTGCTTATCTTTAAAAAACGCTTCTAAACACAAACGCGCATTAACGCGCATAAACGCGTTATGCAAACGCGGCTAAACAGACGTTTTTTAACCTACGTTTTACTGCAGTCAGCTTCTATCATTCAGAAGTGTCCGGTGTACATGGGGCCATAGAGTATACCGTAGATGCAGCTACATATGTATAAACACAGCTACCTACTGGTTGAAGAATATATCTCTGCTGAATACTGATGTAGCTGTTGCACAAAATACATGAACACTGAATTCCAACAGATTGCATAATGTTTATAGGGACTGCTAGATTTGTTTAAATAAATGCTCCCAGTGAAGAAAATTATTACTTACCTGTACCACCATCCATGCAGCCAATCTTCATTCTCTTACAGAAGAATGCTGGCTGAAAGATCTGCATTGAACACTTCAAGGTGTGTTGGATGCCTGGCTCACTGCTGCACACTGGGGTTCCCTCTGTTGACCCCAAGACCCCACTGTGTGCAGTACCATCTAGTGAGAAGAACCACAGTGCACAGTGGGCGACCAGGTTTCCGACACACCCCAAAGTGTGTCACATCTCGAAGCTTTTTCAACGAACTGTTCTCTGTAGAAGAGTGAAGATTATAGGTGTTCACAGGAAGACAGGATCTGCATTAAACCTGAAGTTTAGGTATGGACTATTTTTGCATAGTTACATTGGTTTAGCTTGGACCAGTATAAGTATGTACGGGCCATACCTGGCTGATCTGTGTGAAAACTGGAAATGATTGTAATAGGCACTGCTACTACAGTGATTGCTGCTAGCTTCGGGGTTCCCTGCCAAGCGGCTGTCCTGCTGCTTACTGAACACAGGAGGTGCCATTAAGGTATCCCTTGCATTTTCTCAATGAACACAAGGAATTCTCTGCATAATTGGCGATTGTGATGTCACTTCCCTGCCTCACCACCTCGCCCAATCAAAGAATGCTTTATACTCATTGAGAAAATGCAATGTGTTCTCTAAATTGCACTTGTGCCAAGTAAGCAAACTCACTAAGCAGCATGGTAGCCACCCTGAACCCAGAAGCTAGCAGCAATCACTGTAGCAGCAGTGACTACTACATCAATTTTCAGCTTCCACGGGATCCCACAGGCACGGCTAATGCATGCACAGCCATCCAGAGCAGTGTGCCTGAGCTGACAGGGAGCAGAACTGTTAGTAAACAAAATAGTCCTTCTGCCCATCGGTGATCACCAAAAATCACTGGGCACCGGTGAGTAATTACCGAGCTGACAGGGGGGAGAACTGTTAGTAAACAAAACAGTCCTCCTGCCCGTCGGTGATTGTCGGAAATCACTGGGTGTCGGCGAGAAATTACAGGCTGGGACCCGGTGAATGACAGCCGCGGTCGCAAATGGCGCGTGCCCCATACACGGAAATGCAAAATCACGTATATATATATATATATGTATATATATATATATATATATATATATATATGTGTGTGTGTGTGTGTGTGTGTGTGTGATTTTGCGCACACCGAGCTGCCCTGTAGCAGTATTACTGCTATAGGGCGGTGGGGATGTGGTTAATTGCCAAATAAACAGTTTAAAGTGATTCCAAACTGACTGTGTTGATAGGGGAGACGAGCAAATTTCTTTGGGTCTTTCTCCATGGGTTGCAGGAAAGAAAATCGCATCATCTATGGCCTGCCTTAAAGTGTTGCGTTGTTTTTAAAAAAAAAAAATTGTCATACTTACCTGCTCTCTGCAATGGTTTTACACAGAGCAGCCCCAATCCTCCTCTTCTTAGGTCTGCCGATGGCGCTTCTGGCTCTTCGCCCCTGCTGAGTGTCCCAAGAGTAAGCTGCTTGCTCCAAAGCCGCCTCTGTGTGTCTAAGACATACAGAACTTGGCTCGGCCCCATCCCCCCCGCTCCCTCCTCACTGACTGTGATTGACAGCAGTCAGAGCCAATGAGGAGAGAGAGACCCAGGAGATCTTTAGCTCTCGTGCACATTGCTGGATCGGGATCAGCCCAGTAAGTATTGGGGATGGGGGCTATGGGGGGAGCTGCACACTCAAGGTTTTTTGCCTTCTTGCATTCAATGCATGAAGATAAAAAAACCTTCAGCCTTTACCACTTTAAAGCTTGTAGCTTGAGGCTGCATTCACACCTGAGCAGAAAACTTTTCAGGGCTTTTTTTTATTTGTTTTTGAGCATTTTTTCAAGTTTCAGGCATTGTTATTTTAGCCAATGGAAAGCACTAGAAGGAGGAAACCAGTTCTTACAGACTGAAAAATGCCTGAAATATGCATGCAAAAACATTTGGAAATGCTACATTTGAGCCTTTTCAGGCATTCCCATTGAAGTCTATGGAGCCAAAAACACCCAAACCTGCCTCAAAAGTAGCTTGTGTAGCTTTAGGAGCTTCATTGAGCTGCGGGTGTTTGAGCACTCATATGTGAACACTCCTATGTGAACAGGCACCATTGTAATACACAAAATGTTGAACGCTGAACATTTTGGAACTTTGAGCTTCGATCTACAAAAGGCTCAGGTGTGAATGGAGCCTCAAAAATGACATGAGCTTCTTTTGAGCTACAAGCTTGTTGTGTTGTGATTGTGTTTTGGCCGCAATAGACTTCAATAGGAGCACTTGAAAAACGGGCGAAAAACATACACATTACAAATTATTCCCCCCACAAGCTTTCCATTGGCTAATAATAATTTAAAAAAAAAAATCTCAAGCCTTAGATTCCAACAAAAAACACACGTACAAACACTGAAAAAAAAAAAAAATCTAGCTCTTAGACAAAAAGCTTCAACTGTATGTTCTCATCCATGGCTTGCACAATTACCTCTGATACTAACCATTGTATACAATATATAATAAAGGCATGCGCTAAATAAAATATATATCCATATTATTAAATGTCCATAATCAATCTGTGCAACATAATTAAGCGTCTATAATTAATTTGTGCAAATCAAAGATTTTTTTTTTTTAGATGTATATCACTCCTCTGTAAATTCATATATCAACATAATTAAATATCCATAATTAATTTGTGAAAATTCAAAGTCAAAAAATTTATAATAAAAATATATATCTCCTCTGTGAATTCATAAAATTGTGAATAATCCACCACCAGATAAATTAGATGGACTCACCAGAGCTATATGCTGCTCAAATTATAGAACAGCAATAGCGCTTTTGCTCTGGGAGCGATAACCATTGTATGTCTACTTTTTCCTGTTTCTTTTCCCAACTCAATAAAAAAAAGAAAAAAAACAAAACTCGTAAAACAACCAAAAAACGCTCAGCTCTGTTGTGAATGCGGCCTCAAGTCTGTGATCCTGCTTCACATTCTGCATGACAAATTTGCTTTAGATCCAATGCTAAACCTTCACCCATACTACCTACCAGTACACAAAATGCATGCTCATTCCTGCTAGAGATACCCATTGCTTCTCTCAGATGGGATTATGGCTCATTCCATATCTACAAAGAGGAAGCATCGCAAAACGACCCTTAATAGAGCTTGATTATTTTATACCAGAATCTATAAACCAAATCAATTTTAAATATAGGTATCAATTCTGTTACAGAAAATGCCTGTATAGCACCCATTTCAAGACTAAGCTGAGCCTTATTTGCATTTTGTATGCAGCTTTTGCATAGTTATACTCAGACCCAGCAGTCTTGACTTAAAATACTATCTTAATATCCACAGTGCAAATCTCCTGATTATACTTGGCACTGTCTTGATTCATTGGATGCATTAATTCACTGGGATTAATTTCCTGACAATTGTCAAGTGAAAACCATAATTCTAAATTGTCTCCAACTGGGATGGGCTAAATGACTCCTTATCGAGGGGAGCCTAGCCGGAGCTTTAAGTTTTATCAGCAATATAAAATGCTACAGTCGTTCGTAGTAACAGTCTCTGAATTTATCAAACATTAGGAGACATCTGAAGCAGAAAGAGTGCTTTGACTATTTAGCTTGTCAGACTTTACATTTTAACCACTTCAAGTCCGGACACTTTTACCCCCTTCCTGGCCAGGCCAATTTTCAGCTTTCAGCGCTATCACACTTTGAATGACAATTGCGCGGTCATGCAACACTGTACCCATATGAATTTTTTTAGCATTTTTTTGAGACAGATAAAGCTTTATTTTGGTGGTATTTATTCACCGCTGGGATTTTTTATTTTGTTTTGCTATATAAATGAAACATCCAAAAATTAAAAAACAAAAGTGTATTTCTTATAAAATTATGTAAATAAATAATATTTCATCATAAATATTGGCCAAAATGTATTCAGTTATCTTTTTAGTAAAAAAAAATAACCCAAATTAGTTTATAACCAAAAATTATAATTTTTTTAAAAAAAAGTTTTTTACATTTTTATATTATTATTTATTTTTTCTTTTTCTACATACTGTCACCCTAGCAGTACAGTGTCATTCACAGATTTCACACGTAGTAAGCAATGATGTCAGAAGTGATATCTTGCTTACTACTCTGCATGTGATCACATGATCGGGACCTCGCACAGAGGCCCTGTCCGATGATCGGTGTTCCACTGTGTGCGCGCTCCCTGGTCCAAAATGGCGAGTGCCATATGAACGGCAACCCGCCCCTGGACTGCCACCGCCCGGCCGTTTATATACAGCAGCCGGACGGCAAGTGGTTAAAGTGATACCAATCAAAATATAAATTTTTTACGTTTTTCTTTTATAGAGGGGAAACATTACATTGAATGTTAGATTTTAATCAGTGGTGGGCAAGGTCATCTAGCGTCCAGGATGGAGGTGCATTTTTTTGAGACAGATAAAGCTGTATTTTGGTGGTATTTATTGACCGCTGGGATTTTTTTTTTTTTTTTTTGCTATAAAAATGAAAGGTCCAAAAATTAAAAAAAAAGTGTATTTCTTATAAAATTATGCAAATAAATAATATTTGATCATAAATCTTGGCCAAAATTTATTCAGTTATCTTTTTAGTAAAAACAAATAACCCAAATTAGTTTTATAACCAAATATTATAATTTAAAAAAAAAAAAGTTTTTTACATTTTTATTTTATTTGTTATATTATTATTTATGTTTTTTTTTCTACATACTGTCACCCTAGCAGTACAGTGTCATTCACAGATTTCACACGTAGTAAGCAATGATGTCAGAAGTGACATCTTGCTTACTACTCTGCATGTGATCACGGATTGGCCAATCAGTGATCACATGATCGGGACCTCGCACAGAGGTCCCGTCCGACGATCGGTGTTCCACTGTGTCCGGACACATCTAGGTCATCTAGCGTCCAGGGTGGAGGTGCCAAACAACGCCCCCTTAAAATTGATGAGCATTATTATGTGTGGATCTTGGCGAGATCAGATGATTTAAGGGCAGAGGAGATATCTAAAGTCTAATGCCCCATACACACGATAAGAAAATCATCCGAAAAAAATTTCTCAGAACCACTGGTCGAACAATTTTTTCTTCATTGATGAGCAGGGATGTTTTAACTGATAATGATATTGAACAAAAAAATCTGGTTGAACAACAGTGAAAAATGTTGTTGTTTCACATACAAACGACCGATTTTCTATGCAGTGGTATGAAGATGAAAAATTGCCTTTTTTTCAAATGTTTTGCTCTTTTTTTTGTTTATAGTGAAAAAAATAAACACTCAGTGGCGAGTAAATACCACCAAAAGAAAGCTCTATCTGTGTGAAAAAAGTTATAAAAATCTCATATGGGTATAATGTTGCATGACCGCGCAATTGTCATTCAAAGTGCAACAGAACTGAAAGCTGAAAATTGGCCTGGGCACAAAGGGGGTAAAAGTGCCCAGTAGGCAAGTGGTTAATAAATACTTTTAAGTTGCGTAAACTTTACTTTATAAAATATAGTTGAAATCAGATCCCCTTGTCTATATTTTTTTTTTATTTTAGCACTATCTTTATGTTGCCCTCTTTTACTTTTATTATCAAAATATTACCAAAAAAAATTATGTTTTTTTACTCAGATAGATACATTAACTATATCAGTGATCATTAATTTGTGATTCGCCCTTTTTCTGCTCATCAGCTCTTCTTATTGTCAGTGTATTTTATGTGTGGCCCATGACAATATTATTAAGTGTTCTTGCATAGCAAGGAACACTTATTGTTATCTCACATATATATTCTTATTCTTATTCCGTTTCTTATTATAGCCATATTTGCCACGCTAACTCCTCCCACAGTTTTTACACTACAAATACAAGTAATATATCAAAACGTGCGGATTGTTCCCGATCGGATTGCTATTACTTTGTGGAACGTTTCGCCGAATCGTTCAAGAAATATCGCGGTTTTTGCGGCGAAATTTTCCCATAGGAATGCATTGAGCAGCAGAGCACAGCTAGAGTGTGTAAAGGAAAAATCAGAAAAATCAGAACATGATTTGTAAACTGCCATCACTCTTTCATTTTCAAGCCCACCTACACATATCTTATATCAAAACGTTCAGCTAACCCTGCTGTCACTAAAAATGTTCACGAATGCCAGTAGTGTACCGCGCTCCAATATATTCTACCTTATGTGATATAATGAATTCATAAGTGTACCACCGATAATCAAATAATTACATCAATTAATTATACTTAAATATATGATTTGTGTAAATATATAAAATAAATTAATTTATCAATGTGAAAAAAAAACAAAAACTATGAATGAAAAATATAAAAAAAAAAAAAAAAATATTTGCAGTGGGAATGACAGTTCCTTCTGTATAAATGAGATGGTGTTATTATTCAGTCTGGATAAAAATAAAAATAAAATTAAAATTAAAAAAAAAAATAAAATAAAATAAAATAAAAATAAAATAAAATAAAAATAAAAATAAAATTAAAAAAAAAAATAAAAATTAAAATTAAAATAAATAAAAAAAATATTTGCAGTGGGAATGACAGTTCCTTCTGTATAAATGAGATGGTATTATTATTCAGTCTGGATAAAAAAAAAATAAAAAAAATTAAAATTAAAATTAAAATTAAAATTAAAATAAAATTAAAAAAAAATAAAAATAAAAAAATAAAAAAAAAAAAAATAAAATAAAATTAAAATTAAAAAAAAAAAAATTAAAATAAAAATAAAATTAAAATAAAAAAAAATTAAAAAAAAAAAAAATAAAAATAAAATTAAAATTAAAATAAAATTAAAAATAAAAATAAAAAAATTTAAAAATAAAATTAAAATTAAAATTAAAATAAAATTAAAAATTAAAATTAAAAATTAAAATAAAAATAAAAATAAAAATTAAAATAAAAAAAAAATAAAATTAAAATTAAAATAAAATTAAAATAAAAATAAAAATAAAATAAAATAAAAAATAAAATAAAAATTAAAATTAAAATTAAAAAAAAAAAAAAATTAAAAATAAAAATAAAAATAAATAATTGATATCCCGGATAAGACACTATGTTTCTTTTCTTTAATATTTAATTAATACTAATTTTAGCACGCAATTGAACTTGGCAAGTTTAAAAAGCCTGTTTAGAACAGGCATGCTGACATTCCTCTCAGAGTGAGTTGTCATAGCAACCCAGCTGTCTCAGCACAGTTAGCCTACTCCGCCCTCTCCAGGTGCAGCAACCAAAGGTCACTCAAGAGGCAGATGACTCACGAGGCTGGACTGTGAGCTTCAAAATACAAGCTGAAATGCATTTCTCACTATAAGGCTTGCAATGTGCACTGCTTACATTTCATCAATCATTTGGTAAAGGTTGCGGCAAGAACACTTTACACAATTTCCCCAGAAATTGTAGATTGTCTAGTTATTGCTTACAATCTACCTCTTCTTCCAATGTGGCCCAGGAAGATCAAAAAGTTGGACACCCCTGGCCTAGGCGATTCCAGCAGAAATGTGAGTGGGTACCTGCGAGAAATAGGTACCTGCTGCCCCCCCAAAAAAAAGTTATTATTGGCAGAGAAGGGAGGGGGGAGAAAGAACGGATCTTACTTTTGTTTTTGTGAAGTTCTGCTTTAATTTTTTGTTTTTTGAGTTAAGTACCACTTTAAGTGCATAGTTCAAGTGTGTAGCTGTAGTTTTCACATTAGTAGTAAGAGAAAGAGCTCCCACAAAATGATTAAATAAATAATAAAGTGCCCAGTCTTACCTTTAGCAGATTTGGATTAAGATTTAGATTTAATTAGCATAATTAGCACAATTTTGTTGAAAAAATACATGTTGTTTAAAGCACTGAAATGTATTCACAGCAGAGAATCACTCCCTCCCTATCTGTTCTGTTGAGATAGAGCCGTATGGTGATTTAACCAGAGAGAGAGTCTAAAAGAAAGCAGTTTCTGCTGTTCTCTCAAAATCCTACTGTTCTGTGAGAGCATATTCACACTTGTCCAGTTTGATACAGCACAACTCTTGTATTTTGCTGCATAAAAATGCATGTCAAGTACATCCCAATCTTTTTTTGCGGCTGGGTCACATCTATGTGCTGAAGTTTACCGTAAAAGACAAATGGAAACCCTATGGGTCCATCCACACCTACACATGTGTGTTACCATGCATGATACAGTATAAATTCTGTGTCATAGTTGTATCAAATGTATATTAATAAAACCAGTTTTTTATATCACTAGTAAAAAAATAAACATATAACATTAGAATATTAAACAAAAAGTAAAAGCACAAACATAAAAAACTTAATTAAAAAAATTGACCATTAAATCCTGGCCACAAATCCTCCGAAATCCACCTGAGCTTTGAAAATGTAAAACCTGTTGTAGACTGATGATTAGGAGAGCCAAAGAATTATTCTCTAATCAATAATCCGGACCACTTTTCTGGATTTTACTTAAAATCAACCACTTAGCAACACAGAATTTTTCTATAACCATACGGTAAAAGTATTTTTTTATAATCCTCACATAAGATGTTTCTCACCATCTACACTTTTTTTGAACACCTTCTACCTCTCCTCTTTCTCTCTATTATATATATATATATATATATATATATATTATTGCAGTGTATATATATTTTTTTCTTTATATCTGGAGTTCTTCAATACTTAGTTGTATTTGGGAGCACACGTTTGGAGAAAGACAAGCCGATAAATGCACAGATGTTGAGATGGCATTATATGTGACAGGACATTCCTTCTCGCCAACCCGCCTGTTTGTCCTGTGCTAACAAGCCCCCTTTGACTCCTTTGTGCATGGCATTTCTGCATGTGCAGAGCACAATCGTATAATGATATCTCACCTAATCCTTATTTTCTCCGGTGAAAGCAATCGCACTTCCTCTAAATCCTCGAAAGCTGTGTTTTCCAGTCCACTGCTTATCCGACAACTCTTCAATTTTTCATATTTTCTGCTGTTCTCCAGCACATAAGCATGTTGACATATTCAGCAAACTAACTTTGCTGCTATCTGTGTATTTTTGGATTTGTTGAGCTTTAGCAAATTAATTGAACAAGATGCATTCAAACCAATAACATGCTCAATTTGACTAGCATGGCTGTGTGTAGAGGAAACTTGAGCTGGCCACAGAAGGTCTCATATCCTGTATTATACTGTTGATCAAAGACCCCATTGTGCAATGGAGTCTTGGGGAAGTGTTTCAGGTCCAAGCTGAGATATCGGGCTCATTCCTGTCTCAGTCAGGTAAGGTCATCTCGGCTTACAACCCACCAAGAAATGCATTCATATCTCAGGTTTGGC